TTTTTAACTATTCTCAACTAAATCTAGATTCATCAATCAAATGTAATATTGGCACAAAAATCTTTTAATGTTCGAAAACTATGAACAATAAAAATTTTTAACCCCCCCCCCTCCCAATTTGAGGGGGTTACTCAATGGAATCTTGAATTAACTTTATGTGGGATTTTGCACGGTCATTTACAACAGCAAGTGTTCTTACATACATTGAAAAGTAAAAGACTGGGAAACTTCCTTATTTTCATGCATTGATGCCTTTTTCTTTCCATTGCAGAATTTTTTTTCTTGGAGATCTCTAATAGTAAAAACAAAAAGTAGGAATGATCATTGACAAAGTTTTCTAATTTTGATGTAGTAATAATATCAACCTTAATTTCAGGTCTCTTTTCAATCAGATCTTTTAATTCTGGGATATCATAAAAAAGCAGCTTGTTTAACATGTTAGTCTTAACTTCTGTTTTCAGATCCTTATCAGCAAGAGTAAAAATGACTTGTTGCGGAGACAGATACCAAGTATGACGCATAAGACTTTGGTAAAGAATCTGTCCTATTGCAGCGAATTCTTTAAACTAGTCTACTGTTTTTAATTGAAAAGCAATATGAAACAACATTAAAATATTTAAAGGTGCTTGAAAAACATTAGGGCTTTTTAGAGTCCATGAAAAATTACAATGTAGTTGGTTGCAGCTTTCAGATGGTTTATTGTATTTTTTCCAACTGTCTCGGAATAAGCAGGGTGGTTCATTTGTATCATCTGAATAACCAGTAAGTATATGTAGTCAGCCATAACTCTTGCTTCATGATGAACTTCAGGCTGTTTAAATGAAAAGTTCGTTAACTCAGCTCCATGAAAATAATGCCAGATGCTCACAAAGATACTTATAATCACTTCTCTGGAAAGTATTCTTATGAAGAGCTGTGATACAAAACCCTTTAGCATCCAAGGCAAGTTTGAACAGTAATGAGCCGGGCCTGAAAGCATCTTGAGACCAAGTCAAACTTTACAATTCTCTCAAGTTTGTTTACATCTTCATAAATCTGTGACCATAGTTTTTGGAGAATTACATAAATTTTCTTGCTGGGACCACTTGTTGGACTAAATATTTCTTTTATCGCATGAGTCACCTGTCTTTCATAAATGTGATGTCTGCACATTAACCAGAGAACCGGTCTTTTAAGGGCATAGGAAATAATAATGTTTATGGCACCTTGATTTTTACCAGTATTGCTGGATGTTGTGTCAGAACACAATCCAATAATCTGATCCGACATTTCATAGTATTCAAGCATTGTTTGAATTGAAATAGCTTGACCACTTCCTTGGAGCTTTCGACTTTTAAGATGCCAAGAAGAAATTCTAGTGGAACCATTATGAGTTTTCCTGTTTAGAGTCGATCTTGATATTGACATATAATCAATATTAACTCCACCGGCCTTGTAAAGAGAAGACAAAAGACACATACCTGGTCTGACTCGAATCCTAAATCTGGTCATATTTGGAATCCAATTGTTAGGAATATCTTCCATACTTAACTGAAGGCAATGTTTGATGTCACTATGAAACCTTTTCTGTTTTTTATGGACTTAGTGCTGGAAGTAAATAATTTTTTGTTTTGTTTTTGTTGATTCACCTCCTCAAAGCCAAGAGGGTCACTACTGACGAGGAGGCTACATGTTTGTGGTTATAACCCTCTCTTAACTCTATAACTTCGAAACATGATCCTTGATGAACAAGGCCGCTGCATGGAGAAATGAGTTGAGCGCGGTACTACCAGGGATGTGGTGGGGATCAAACTTGGAACCTCTTGCTTATGAAGCAAGAGCTCTACCACTACACCACTGCCACATCATATAGTTCATCGCACTCAGTTTGATTGTCACTATCTGAGAAAAGTCACTGTCTGAATAGCTGTTCTCTTTTTTTATTTTTTATCTTTATGCCTTTGGATTTTCTCAGACCCTAATTATTTTTTCTTGTGTCCTTTTCATAAAATTCATTGTCCATGTTCCTGAATTAGACCATATCCCCTCTCAGATAAAGCCTCAAGAATTTTATGTCTTCCTTCTTAGCCTCATTATCCCTATTTTTATCACTTTTTATTAATTCAAATATGTTTGTTTTATTAATAGACAAAATAGCACTGCTCTCTTTCAAAAAAGTGTTCACATTCCTTTTGTAGCTACCCTCTAGTAGTTCTAGTATTTTTAGCAATTTTAAAGTGTGGTATTTGTTGACTTTCTTAGTGATTCTAGTCTTGATAGTTTGCTCCGTCACAATGAAAACATCGTTGAACCCAGAAAAAACATTACACTTTTCACATTAAACATGTAAAAAATGTAATGTTTTTGTTAATTAATTTCAGATTTACCTATAGCTTTTTTCAAGATTGAGCCAGTAACACCTTCTAAGCATTTCATAATACCTTCTAAGCATTTCTCCATTTGTTGGAAGTCTGTTAGCAAAACTCTGTAAAGGGAACCCTAGCAAATAAAATTGTCTCCTCTTCCTTGTAGCTTTTGACACTTCATCAATGTCTGTTCTCAGTGATTAAGTGCGACAATTTATGTCTAAAGACATTTTCTAAAATTAATTTATTTCATTTAAAAAATCCGAATTAGTCGCATTTAGTTGTAGTTGATTGAGTCAGGATTATAGTTTACAACTAATAATGAAAAAATAGTGAAACTGATAAATAAGTTTTATATAGAAGTTCGAACCTGTATTTTAGATAAATTTCTTGGTTGAAAACAACTTGATTTCTACTTTAACTATATATTGACTTAAGTTAAACTTATGCATCATTAGTTTTTATTGTTTATAAAACAAATATCATTTATGTTACTGTTAGCTATGCTTTTGTTGAAACATAAATAAAAATTGACTCGGATGAAAATCAATTTAAAATCAAAATTTATAATTATAAATTATTATATAAAATTGAATTCACCTAAATAACCTTCCCCTTTAGCTAAAAACTTAATTTTTGTTTTGTTTTACTTTATGGATAAAATTATGCTAAATATAGTATTCCACACATTAAAATTCGATTTATGATATATTTTTGGGCACTCTAATATATTTATATATATATATATATATATATATATATATATATATATATATATATATATATATATATATATATATATATATATATATATATATATATATATTTATATATACATACATACATACATACATACATACATACATACATACATACATACATACATACATACATACATACATACATATATATATATATATATATATATATATATATATATATATATATAAATACATATACATATATATATATATATATATATATATATATATATATATATATATATATATATATATATATATATATATATATATATATATATATATGTATATATATATATTTAGGTATATATATATATATATATATACCTTTAGTGTTAACATTGTATATAAGAGTATATGTTATATTAGTAAGAAAACATCAATTAATACAAATTCTCTTAATACAACTAAAAATTTTTATTAGAAATTTTTGCTGGATTGTAGTTACCAGCATTATCAACTTGTCAAAATTATACAATAAAATTTTTTTGTAACGTTAGAAACAGTTTAAAATTAATTGAAGTCAGCAATTGAATGGCTTCTTCCTTGCTTACGTAAAAATGTAAAAAACAGAGCCCAAAATATAGTTTCAACAAACTGCCCATTATCTAAATAAATTCAACAATGTAAAGGTGAACATTGGAACCTCTATATTTCAAGAGCTTTGCGCACTTTTCGATCAATTTTAAGTGAGTCTGATTGATTTTTGTTGATTTTTAGAGACCGTTTATTTCCAATTAAGTTTGCAATCCGTTTATATTGGCATATGTTGTACCCATTTTCGTTAAACATTTAAATAAGGAAATTAATTTTATCTTGTAAATATAAATTACTGCATAAAGAATAAGCCCTGTGGACATAACCTTTAAATATTGCATTTAGATTCTTAGAGTCATGATTTGAGTGATGTTTCATTTGGATATTAGTAATTGTTTCCTTTGTGTAAACTTAAAACTCATACTTTCTTTTGTTGTTATTTATTATGGTTAAATCGAGGAAGTTTAAAGTTCTATTTTCGCTTTCAGTTTCGATCATATACATATATGTATATAAACATATATATATATATATATATATATATATATATATATATATATATATATATATATATATATATATATATATATATATATATATATACTCATAAAAAGAAAGAAAAGAATTTATATATATATATATATATTTACATATATATATATATACTTATATGTACATAAATATATATATATATATATTTATATATATATTTATAATATATATATATATATATATATATATATATATATATATATATATATTCATAAAAAGAAAGAAAAGATAAAGAATAATAAAAAAAACATTAACTTAAGAGTTGCTGCGCCAACCCAAACCCTCATTTGATATACCAGCAACTTATTTGCATGTTCTCCTTAAATTAGTCAATGTATGTTCAGCTCTTGAAATTATTATGATGTCAGATTGTTGTTGTTGTTTTCACACTTTCTTTTCTTTTCATGTAGTTAAGAAAATTAAGAGAAGCATTATTTTACAAGATATAAATGTTAATGAAACTGATCAGTTTCATTAACATTTATTTTAAAATTTATTAACATTTACTGTAAAAATATAAAATGTTTTTAAATATTTGTAATTCTTTTATTTGAAAAATCCATTTAGTCTTGATAGCTACTTTTAATATTTTGAGGCCTCAAAATGTTAAAATTTTTTTTGTATAAAAATGAAAACAAAACCTTATTATTTGACTATTAATTTTGTACAATAATAAAACACTTTATTTAGTGGTTTATAGAAAAAAATACTCAAAGAAGAAATTTGAACATTAAATAAAAAAAAACTAATTACAACTTTTTAAAGAGATGTTAAAAAATAAAGCTCAAAATAGATAAAATATTACCTTGTGTGCTGGAAAAGTCTGACAAGTTGCAGCTGATGCAAAACAAAAAAAGCAAAGTTGAAACCAGCATATTTCAATAAAAAAAAATCGAAAAGCCATAAAGTCATAACCTAAAATATCAAACTCATAAGTAACTGGATTATAATTATTATTACTACAAGAAATAAAGTTGTAAAATAAATTTGATTTATTTAGGTTATTAAAAATAATGTTGATATTCACTTTTTTCAACATGCATAATGACTTAAATAATGTTATCTTGAAAACTGAGATTTTAACTTTTTAATTTTTGGCTCACTTGTTTTGGCCTTTTGATTGCTTCTACAAAGCAAATGTGCTACATCAAAGATTAATTGATTTATCAATGATAGATCAAGGAGCAAATTATTTATCAATGATAGATTAAGAATCAATTACTTTATCCATAATAAGTTGTCTATTTTTATGTATATGTTTATGCCCAATTCATTTTTTTATAGCGACAAAATAAAAAAAAATTGACTTTCAAACTTTTAATAGTGTCTCGAATACCATGGAGTCTATCATTAGGACTTTACTTTTAAGACACCAAATGTCACCTGAGGTTTTTATTTAAACTTGAAATTATAAAAAAAATTAGAGTCTGTTTTCAAACTCTTTTTTTTTATAATTTCAAGTTTAAATAATTTTTCTAAGATTTCAGCATATCTCTTACCAGATATATCCAAGTCTATAAAATTTCTAATAATACTGTGTATTACTTTCATATTTTATATTAAAACAATTCTTTTAAGAGAAGAAAATAAAAACAAATTATACAAAAAAATTTAGATATAATGAATTTGATTTAAAATGAAAAATATGTTAATTTTTAAAATAATACTAAACATCGTGTTTTTATAATCATTGTGAAACTAATATAATTAATAAAAATTTTATCATTATATAAAATTAAAATTTATAAACAAATTTTATATTTATATTTTATGTTTATATTATGTTTATTTTGTATTATAATTAAAACTAGTAGTTTAAATTTTTATTTTTTTAAATCTGAACACAGCAGGTGCTGCTACTTAAAGCATGCATATATATATAAAAGTTATTTTAATTATTAAAAGTTATTTTAATTTTATTTATAAGTATTATTAAGTGGTAGATGCAGTACAAGAAAATTTCTGCAAAGTGTACAGAAGTTTTAAAAAATCTAATTTGTTTTTTTTTTTAATTATGCTATATGCATATTTTATACAGTGTACAACATATTTGTAAACAAGCTCTTTCAAAGTTGTTAATTGGTCATATTGATTCTTTTAAAATAATTGTTTAAAAACAAAACAATCAATCAAAATCAACTAGTTTAGTCAAACTCATAAAAATAATACTAACAACAAATTCAAACTTATCAGACAGTTTAGAAAAGTACAACTGTGGACCAAGAGCATACAACTTTAAAATTACTTCCAAGGTAAAAAATACCATGAACGCTTTTTGGGCCCAACCTAAAAAAAAAACAGTAGCAGATAAAAAAACTTCAGTTTATTGTACAAATCTTTGATTTTATTTTTTTGATTAAAAACTAGCATTTAAAAAAATAGTAATAATGTTAAAAATTATAAATCTATTATAAATAATAAATGTATTTATAAACTTAATTTAATGAACATTAAAATAATTTTAAATAATTATTTGAAATTAATTTTTTAAATAATTTTTAAATGAAGAGGTCAATATTTAAAAAATTGTTTGTTTTTTTTTGTCATTTTCTCCAAATTTATTTATTTTCTATTACTTACATCATAATGTAAGTAATAGAATATATAATGTTTAACATTATATATTTATAACATGTGTATAAAAACATAAAATATCATTAAATAATGTTACATTGTTTCATAATACAATTACATAATATTTGATACAAATAATTTATATATAAAGATTGTAAAGATATAAGTGTAAGCAATATAAATGAAAACAACAATGCTTATAGAAAAAAAAATTTCAATTGCATTTTAAAAAAATGTCAGTTTTATACTTCAAATTACTTGAAATCATGTGATGTTATTTTTATTTACTTTTTCAGACAAAAAGTAAATGAAACTTAACTTTTGCTATAAAAATTATACTTTTAACTTATACCAATTGATCAAACTTATACCCAAAGATACTTGGCAAGATAAAGCTTAAAGATAATGACATCAGTTCATGAACATTTTATAAATAAATATTTATTGATGTTCAAAAAAACTATAAATAGATTTTCGAGCATGAAGAAACAACTTCTTCTAAGTTCTTTAAACATTTAATGAGTAAATATTAAATATTAATAATCAATATAATCAATAATAAATATCAATAAATATTAAAATATGTATTATTCAAAAAAATTACAACCTGTGTCTCAAATAAAGCAAAATTATATAAAGTTTTAAATGTAATCATTTTATAAAAAATGAATAGAAAAAAAAAATATTTTCAAATATTTTTGTAAAAAAACTTTTTTAGTTAAAAATATCATTTTTTATGTAGTAAAATATAAAATGATAATTTAAGCCATTAATAAATAAATTAATGGTTCTGAGTCTGTCAAGTATTAAGTATTAACTATTAAAAAATCTGTGATAGCTCTATGACTAGTTTCATTAAAAGCTGTTTAAGATCAAAGTAGGAACAGTGCCATGTTGTGACGATGTCCACCATCATCAACATCAATCTTTCAAAAATATTTGTGCTCCTTAAACATAATTTTTGATCTATGAATTATAAACTTGTAAAATATTTTCTATGAAAATAATATAAACACATTCATTTATTTAAATACATTCATTAAAATACATTCATTCATTTATATACATTCATTCATTTAATTACATTTCTTTAAATGATCTTCTAATCGTCTGATCAGCAAAGATGTTTTCTCAACTATTTGTCATGAAATCTTTAAGATGATATAAAGATCGCTTTCTCAACTACTTATCATGAAATCATGAAGATGTCATAAAGATTGTTTTCTCAACTACTTGTCATGAAATCATGAAGATGTCATTTTTTTTCAACTACTTGTCATGAAATCATGAAGATGTCATAAAGGTTTGACTCTTCTAACAATTCTTTGTTATGTTAAAAAACGAATGTTAAAGAACTTTGCTGTTTTCTTTCATACTGGTCATACTATACAAGCTTTATTCAACATTTAAAATAGATTAATTACATTTTTGAATTTTGTTTTAATTTTGAAAATTATTAGAAAAAGAGCTGTATGCACAAAAATAATTTAAGTAAATATAATCTATATTACATTTAATTATTTCTCCATGATCAAAGAAATAAGTAATATCTTGGCAGATGAAGAAATCAGCTCTTAGCTTTTTTTTTCTATGTTTCCATGATAATGCTTCTTAACACAGTTAATTTAATGCAATTTGCAATATTTTCTTAAACATTAATTTTAGTAAATAATTTAAAATGTATATAAACAACATGCACTTTTAGAAAAGTATACTTGAGGTTTAAAAACACTTTGCATCTCATAAATCATAACTAATAACTCTGGGTTTTTGGTGATTATGTTATCTATATAGAAAATTACTATATAGTAATTTTTGGTGATTATGCTATCTATAATAATTTTTGGTGATTATATTATTTACGGTAATTTTTGGTGATTATGTTATCTATAGTAACTTTTAGTGATCTATAGATAACATTACTATAGATGTCATCTATATTAATTTTGGTAATTATGTTATCTATAGTAATTTTTGGTGTATATTTTATCTACAGTAATTTTTGGTGATTATGTTGTCTATAGTAATTTTTGGTGATTATGTTATCTATAGTAATTAAACAATCCCAGCTGAAATAAAGTTACAAACTCTATTTGAAGAGCTTGAAGATTCAAACATTAAAGCTTTATTCAAACATTAAACCCATCAAATGTACTACTTTTTGGTGATTATGTTATCTATAGTAATTAAACAATCCCAGCTGAAATAAAGTTACAAACTCTATTTGAAGAGCTTGAAGATTCAAACATTAAAGCTTTATTCAAACATTAAACCCATCAAATGTACTACTTTTTGGTGATTATGTTATCTATAGTAATTAAACAATCCCAGCTGAAATAAAGTTACAAACTCTATTTGAAGAGCTTGAAGATTCAAACATTAAAGCTTTATTCAAACATTAAACCCATCAAATGTACTACTTTTTGGTGATTATGTTATCTATAGTAATTAAACAATCCCAGCTAAAATAAAGTTACAAACTCTATTTGAAGAGCTTGAAGATTCAAACATTAAAGCTTTATTCAAACATTAAACCCATCAAACCTACTAAGACTGAAGGGCTAACAAAAATAATTTTTTTACAATAAAACTTTTGTAAAAAATATCAACTTCATTTATTCATACTTTTAAATATTTTGAAAGTGATTAACATTGATTCTAGGAATAAATATAAAAAAAGTAACTTAAAAAGAAATACATAACACAATATTGTTAACTTTTATTGAAAAAATTTAAATTTTTTTTTATTTAAATGTTTAGTTAATTTTAAATGTTAAAAATTTATACATTTTTTTAAAGTTTAATAAAGGTGGCTCACCCTCCTGAGCAAGCCTTAACTAAAACACTGAGTTATTATTTCTTCTGTAAAGCTCTGTATAATGTTTGAATAATTTTGCTTCAAATTTTTGTAACACCATATGTGAATTTGCTGTTACAAAATTTTATAAACCCTCTCTATAATTAATTTTTAAAAATAATATGGATCAATTATCATTAAATTTATTCTTAATTGATTATCAAACAATTGTAAAGTGTTAAGTTTTAACTAGACATTGCATTAAAATAAAAAACTAAAGTACCTGTTATATCAGTAATCAATTGTGGTTCATTATGATGCTGAATGACCAACAACAATGCATTAAAAAAAGTTAAACTCATCATTAACCAATAGAAAAACGAAGACAATAGAATTCTTTTTAAAGCAATACGAACTCTGGAGTTTAAGTTCATGCACTTAGTCAAATGAGGATACCTAAAAAAAATTATTCATTTAAATCAAATGAAATTTTAGTAGCATAATGTTATTCAAAGTTGTTAAAAAACACTTTTGTATTATTTTCTTAATGGTATTTTGGAAGGGTTTTATCAGAGAGTTTCATTTTTTCAAAGCCTCATTCTTAAAATTTGAATTGAAAAAAATAGTAATAAAGCTTGTTAGAATGTTTTCAGTTAAAATATCACAAGTTAAAGTTCCTACTCACAACAAAACTAATGTTGGCAATAAATGTTTTTAAACTGCTTTATTTAGAACCTAATTCAATGTATTTAAACTGCTTTATTTAGAACCAAATGTATTTAGAAAATTAAGGTTATTTTTAAGTCTATAAATAGAATCCTTAGTTAACTCTAAAAATGATAATTAAAATAAAAATTGGATTAAAATGAAGTAAAATGCAGTTAAATGACAATAAAGGACAAACCCAAATTTTCATAAATTTTTTTAATAAAATAAATTATTAAATGTAGAAATATATTTATAACTTTATTTAGCACCCCATCCTTCAAGATAAAAACTGATGTTGCATCTCTTGAGTAAGGTTGTTGCAAAAGCATATTTAAAATTTTTTTTAAAAATTTATTTTAACAAAACAATTTCAAAAAATCAAAAAGTAATAAATCAAAGTACTTTGACAGAAAACTCTTGTTGACTCTGAACTAAAAGAAAAACTTAAACAAACAAATAAAAGTTCTCTTCTATTTTTTATTAATAGAAGTTTATAATAAGAATAGCAAGAACTTTTCGTAGTGGTTATAAAAATGCTGGTTTTATAACTATTTCTATTTTTTAAAGCCAAAAAACTTGAATAGCAGATGATAGTAAACATTATTTAGACAAAAAAAAAAATGTTTATATATATATATATATATATATATATATATATATATATATATATATATATATATATATATATATATATATATATATATATATATACATATATACATATATATATATATATATATATATATATATATATATATATATATATATATATATATATATATATATATATATATATATATATATATATATATATATATATATATATATAAATATATATATATATATATATATATATATATATATATATATATATATATATATATATATATATATATATATATATATATATATATATATACCTTACATCACATTCTTTTATACATTCTTTTTCACATTCTTCTTTTTCTACTAAACACCTCAAAAAGAACACATAATATAAAAAAAATCATAAATAAAAATTTAATTTCATGCAATTCGAAAATTAAAAAGCAAACCTAATTTTTTTTTTTTTTTCAACTTCTTCTTGGTCTAAAACATTTTGACCTTGGTCAATCCAATTAACATATTTTTCAGATAATTTCTCAGTTTCTAATTCCATTTTTAGTGCTAAAAATTTATGATGATTTGAAATCCGAGTTCTTTCTTTACTGAAACCACTAAAAAACAATAAAAATGTATATTTCAATTAGACAAAAGAAATGGAAGAAGTTTTTCTAATGCAAAGGTACATTCTATTTATATATTTAACTTAATAATAACAAATTTTGTTCTCTGAAACTCTAGTCTGAGAGATTAAAAATCACTCAGATTAGAGTTTTAGAAAAGATACTTAAAATTTGAGAGATAACCAGTTCATTAAAATTACAAGGTATTTATCTACTACTGTAGAAATTTACACAGTACTAATATATTTTTTCTCACTTTGATTTTCAAATGGTTAATCTAGAAAATCTATAAAATCCAGAAAAAGAATAATACTAAAAAAATTAAAACTAAAGAATACTAAAAAAATGTAAAAAGAATAATAATAGAAGGACTGGAAAGAGAATGTAAAATTTATTTGAGTCACTAACCCACATAAAACTCCACATACTAAGTTCATTATAAAATGTGCTCCAATGATTTCTAATGTGTAATAATAAAACCAATAGTAGTTTCCATTGAAATCTTTAACGTCAAATGTCTAATTTAAAAAAATATTTTAGTATACATTATATTTAGTATATAAAAATATTTTAGCATACATTATATTTAGAGTATAAAATTATTTTAGTATATATTATATTTAGTATATAAAAATATTTTAGTATCATTATATTTAGAATATAAAAATATTTTAGCATACATTATATTTAGAGTATAAAATTATTTTAGTATATATTATATTTAGTATATAAAAATATTTTAGTATCATTATATTTAGAATATAAAAATATTTTAGCATACATTATATTTAGAATATAAAACTATTTTAGTATACATTATATTTAGTATATGAAAATATTTCAGTAAATATTATATATGATATTTAGTATAGTCATTTTTTTAAATCAATTTTTAATTCAAGTGCAAACTTAAAATCAATCTTCTTTGAGTTTCAAAAATTTTTACAAAAAAATTTATATTAATTCAAAAATTTTTACAAAAAAATTTATATTAGTTTACTGTAAAACATATAAATATTTTTATATAGTTATGTCACAATTTTTTTAATGTTTAAAATTTTTTCTTAAACTATTGTAAATAATATAAATCATAATGCAATAAAAATTATAATACAAATTATATTGTAAAGCATAACTTTATAATACATTTTGCAAAAATAATAAATAACATGAAAACTAAATTTTGAAAATCTCTTTATTTCTATTATACCTTGTACATTATATCAATCCATCCTTCACATGTAATACAAACAAATACAGTAATACAACTGCTTATAAAATTATCAAAACTGATTGCACCACTGTAGGGTCCTAACCAGTATCGCTTGCAAAATGTGTTGTTAGGGCATTGCTGACCATCAACTCCACACAAAAATCCTTTTTTCCAAATTTCTTAAAATAAAAAATAAAAAATTTAATTCTAGAATATTTTAAAGTAATTAAATGAAAGGTTTTAAAGTAAAAATTTTTCACAAATTGCAATCACAATTTTCTAACAACAGTATATAATGATAATACAGTATGTGGCGCTACATTAGTTTAGTTTAGAACTTATTTCAACTATTTTAAAAAAATGAAATAATTAATTAATTTGATTCTTTTTTTAAATAAAAAAATACATATTTTGGCAACATTTTACATTTGTGGCAAATAAAGTCAGTAAACATTTGGCCACAGCACTTTTTGATAGAGGTCTTGAAAGCTTTAACACTGTTATGGGTTTTTACACAAGTCTTTGACTCAACATTAGCCTGCATAGAGTTGTCAAGGGGATTCAAGTATGGTGAACTAGGGGGCCAGATGTCCTTGGGCCAGAAATCCAATATGTTTTGCTCCAACCACTTTTGTGTCATTTTCAAGGTCTAACATAGTGCCCCATTTTGCTAAAACACCATCTTGGTTTCAACTTAGGTCTTCGAGTCAATTCAGGTCTCTCAGTCCAGTTATATACAATAAGTAATTATGAGTCATCTACCCTTTGTCTTTTAGGATTAACTCTTACGATGTTTTCCATTACATTGAACATAAATTGGGTCAAATACAATTTAGATAATTTGTGCTTTTTATTGAACTACTTCTTCAATATTTTATGAATTAATTATTTTATGTGCTTAAAGGAAAAACAAATTGAAAAATAACCTTTCTGTTTCTATTGAAAAACTTATTAATGTTATTATTATTAATAATATTATTATTAGTAAACTTATACGTAAGGTTACAAGCTGTAAAGTCAAAGATCACAAAGAAAAAAATAAATTTACACCTAATACTACGATAGAACTTAATTCTGAAGTTTTAAAACCTCTTTCAGATGATCTTTTTAAATTGCCCATGCAATTAACACTTTTTAGGACCATCTTAAAGGTAAAGAAATTGGGCCACATTCGCAGGCAAGATGGCTGAACTTTGAAAATAGAATATGTTTACTTGTAATCATTAAGTTTTAACATGTAATCTTTAACTAAGGAGTTTATAGTTGGGATTTATGTGCTAATTTGGTTTGAAATTTTTGTCAAAAAATTTCAAACCAAATTAGCACATTAAAAAAAAAAAAATCTTTGTCATCAAAAAATTAAAGTTAAATACATCTTAATGCCATATGTTTTATCATCTTCATGGAATGCTTATAGTGAAAATGTTCTTCAGGGACTTTTATTTAGTTTAAATTTATTTTATTAAATAAATTTTATTCAATTAAAAACAAATAGGCAATTTGAAGTGAAGACTTCAATTTGAATGTATAAACATAAATATATATGTATTTATATATATATAAATATATATATATATATACATATATATATATATATATATATATATATATATATATATATATATATATATATATATATATATATATATATATATATATATATATTTATATATATATATAAATATATATATATATATGTATATATATATATATATATATATATATATATATATATATATATATATATATATATATATGTATATATATATATATATATATATATATATATATATATATATATATATATATATATATATATATATATATATATATATATATATATATATATAGATATGTATAAATATATAAATATGTATATGTATATATATATATATATTTTTTTTATTTATATATATATATATGTATAAGTATATATATATACATATATATATATATATATATATATACATAATATATATATATATATATATACATATGTATGTATGTATGTATGTATATATATATATATATATATATATATATATATATATATATATATATATATATATATATATATATATATATATATATATATATATATATATATATATATATATACAGTGCTTTTTTTTCTGGAAAAAAAGTTGTGAAAAGGTAAAGCAATAGACCTTTCCCATAAATATTTATTTAAATCTAAACAATACAAATAAAGTTTTTTTAAAGTATAGATATTTGATAATAGACATTTCATTTTAGCCAAATATAAGTCATAATTTTATCAACGATTATCTTGTTAATAAGATAT